TATATATTATATATATATATATATATATGTATGTTTATCTTAAGGCATTTTAAACCCTTCCCACACTCTTGCAATAGTCTAAACATTTCTAAACTCTAAATGCTCTAAAAGAGCGCAGCTGGTCATGATCTCCGCTCTCTCTGTCACCGGCTGCTCTCTGCATGCTGCAGGAGGGAGCTTCTCTCTGCACACGTGTGCTGCACACAGGTGCAGCAAGTGCTACATAATTTAAAGTAATTTATTTTAAATAAAAAATTCCATGCTGATCATGCGGCTCATCCATCAATCAGCCAATTGTGTGTCATGTCCAGTCTTACTTTGAAAAAAACGTAAAAGATCGAGTCCGCAAAAGTCGAACCGTGAAGCAGCGAGGGACTACTTTAAACTGTTTTCACCAAAAGACCACCTAACAACCACATCAGTGAAATCAGACGTCTTCCATCTTGTAAAGTATAACTAGGCCTTCAGAGTCCTTCATACTGGGTGAAGACCCTGCGACACTCTCCATGACCTGGTCATTGTCAAACAGTTTTATTCCTTTGATTGTTCATGTTCCAGTTACAATCTGGTACAACTTTCTCAGAGTGTGTCAGAATGCAGCCACATAAGCCCCTTATCCACAGGGCCTTTTGGTGCTCCTATGTAACTAGTTCGGGCCGATTGCGTAGTGTCTCCACAGCGCCTTAAGCGGTGGAACCCACACGATTTTTGGGACCTACTTCTCTGGGGTCCCAGGTCTGGTTCTTGTTGGGTCCAGATGTGACGTCAGCGCACTGTCGGTCACTGATTGGTCAGGGGGAGGAGTCACTGGATCTTTCAGAAACTTTTCAAAACACTGATCCGCCATTTGCAATTTCTCGGACCGGAGTAGCGGCTGGATCTATTTTAAAGATTTAAAAACAATAATGACAACACCGTGGCCTAATCCTGAAGTGCTGGCTGTTTTTTTGTGCTTGCTGGCCGACGACAAAATTCAGAGCGAGCTAGATGGAGCTCCGCCGGTCTACCTGGGTCCTCTCCACCACAACCTCGGAGCCGGGCAGGGCGTCATCTCCTCAAGCTAAAATTTATAAAAGGTTACTAAAGATTTACTTTATGCCCACTAAAGGGGAACTATGGGCACTGTGGAGACAGAAATAAACCGGTCCCACCGGAACCGACCTAAATAAGCCCCAGTAGGGTCCTACAGGAACCGGACTTGTGGATAAGGGGCTATAGACGACACCATGCTAACAGAATGCTAGCACCATGGGTCTACCTTAAGTCGGTTCCATGTCACAACAGTTTGGGGCCATCTTGCTTTAATTTCTCAATGACTAAGCCGCACTGGTGAGTGCACAGGCCTCACATTAAATCACTGCCCCAAAGCTCCAGCCCATCTTCAACCTATAAAAATATTAGTTTTCCGTTTAACTGCTAACAATGTTTTAGTTTAGCTTTTTTAATTTTACTTCCGAGCGGTTTCTGCTCTGATTAGCTGTTAGCTAGACGCCTTCATGAGAATTCCTCCCAGATTCTCCAAATGAAGAATCAAAAAATTACATGCAGCTATCTGCTGCAAGTAAGATACTGACTACTGATAACAGCTCTGCTCAATCCCACTTAAAAAAAAACACAAGCACATGTTCCGCTGAGTGAAACCAGTACGTCTCCATGTTAAATTTAACAGTGTAAAAATAAAATGGAGATAGAAGACGGAGGCTATGTGTGGATCCAGAGCCTCAGAGAGCCAGCGGTCGCATTCTTCTCCCTCAGCACTCAGTCCTTCACCTCCTGCACGCTCTTCTGTGCCGCAGGCGGCCCGGGTGACCCTTCAAGACTCGAGCCTCCGACTTGAGCTGTCATCACATATCTGCGGCGACTTCAGTGTCACACACGAGTCTTCACCGCCTCCAGGTCCGACGCTTCGGGCTCGGCGACGCTCAGATGAGGCTCATCGTTAGAATCACTCTGTGGGGACTGATGCGTCTGAGCAGGAGTTGGAATTTGATGACATATCTTCATACTTTTATAGCTGCACGCTGCAACACTTGTGTGTATCTTACATGTGCGAGGGGTCAAATGCGGAAAACAAATTTCACAAATAACACACATTTCACGCTTGGTTGCACTTTCCCTGCGTTTCAAACGCGCAGCGTCCTATTTAAAACTGAACGCCGGCGCCGTAAATTGTCCGTTTTATCACCGTGTCGTTCAAATGGTACAATCTCTGACTTTTTTTATTTGCCATTTGAGAAAGGCAGCTGGTAGGATGTGGTTTTCTGGGGCGGGGTTGCACAGAACAAGGAGTTAGACATTATCCGAGCAAGTTATGTAAATCAGTTTTATGTCGAGGCTCTGAAAGATGCGCCTCAGTCCGGCCTGCAGGTCAAACGGACGTTCCAGGCAGCAGAGCAGCATTTGCATTAATAAAACAGGAAGCTCAAAGGTACTGTACAAAGGAAGGATGTTTTAGTCGTGCACTCATGTCCAGCACTGATGTCAAGAAGGAGGGAAGTGCACTTTTCTCCAGGCCTTTCCTCTGCACGTGACGCAACCGTCTTATGTTTCCTACTGAGACCTGCTGGCTGCCTTCCAGACACTGCTTTTATTTACAGGTATCTATAAATATAACCGTCTTAGGACAGTTTGAAGGCCAGTTGGTGTTTCTTGTACAGCTGATCCAGGTAAAAGAAGTCACCTGACTGCAGAGAACTGACTGTCGTATTAACAATATTCAACAAGAGATCCTCAGAGAGCAGTTTTCTCGAGCGAAAAGTGGTCCAGCAACTCCAGCGACATAACCAAACGTGGTTCGCCTCCCGTGCTCAGAGCTCGCTCTGGTAAACGTTTCACCTCAAATGTGCAGACCACGTGCGCCCCCGTTCAGGAAACCAAACCTTGAGGTTGTGGTCCTGATTTCATTTTGAGCGCCGGCCCAGGCGGGCTGCAGTGTTTGTTATGGTTACTCGGTGGTAATCATTAAAGATGACGGGGAAACGGGGCCGTGTAAATATTATTACCTGCAGGATTTGGTGTGTAATCCTTTAAAGATAAACAGAAAAGCTCGACTCAGCCTCTCTGCTCAGAAACTCTAACTTTAAAATT